TTAAACATACCTCTTGGAGGCTTTACCGATGACAGAGAAGAACTACAAACCACATCTGATTTATCCGTCCCATGACGTACTTCTGCCTCTCCAAGAATGCTACAGCTGTAGAGATAAAGGTAGTTAAGTGCTTTGCTTTTATAATCTTGCTTAAAAAAAAAAAAATGCTACAGAAAGGCTCTACTCTGCTAGATTGCTAGCTTCTTCAGGAGAAGAACTGAGAGGTCTTCCTACACGTTTGAAGTCCCAGTGGCTGTCCACACGTCGGAAGGGTGGACCAATGAATACGCAAAAGTAAGCACCGCCAGGATGCTCTAAGAACCACTCTGACACTATCGTCCAAAAGAGGGTGCACTGGTGTCCTCGGTGAAGAAGATTCCAAATGCCTCAATTGCCTTCGGGAGAGTGATAAACTTTTGATGAAAGCTCTTTTGAAGCTGAAACACAAAAAATCTTTTCAACATCCAATAAAGCTTGGATAAGTGGATCAGAAAATAAGTATCTAATGAGAATTAATATCTTGCGGGGGGACGCCTGGGTGGCTCAGTTGGTTAAGCATCTGACTCTTGATTTCAGCTCAAGTCATGATCTCAGGGTAGTGAGATCGAGCCCCGTGTCAGGCTCTGCACTCAGCAGGGAGTCTTCCTGAAGATTCTCTCTCTCCCTCTCCCTTAGCCCCTTGCCCCCACTCTCTCTCTCTCTCTAAAATAAATAAATCCTTAAAAAAATATTGGGACTATATTAGTATTTAATTATAAGCATGCAATGGAAGCACCCAGAAATTCCATTATATATATAGATATATATGTATATATCTATATATATATACACACACACTATAAACATATAATTCCACTATACACACACACATACACACGTACTCACATTAAGTGTGAAACCCAGTATATATAAAGTGTATGTGTATATATATGTATATATATATATATATATATATGATGATTCATTGCAGAATTATTTATTACCATGACAGACTAGAAACTACCTGAATGACTACCAATAGGGAATTTATTAAGTAAAATTAAGGTACATCTTTATGGTACATCTCTACCAAGATAAATTATGGTACAAACCAAGAGTTGGCAGCAAATGTTTTCTAAGCTACAAGAAGCCACAAAGATCTAAGTGAACAAATACAGAATGAGCTTCCTTTAGCATATATTATGTTAAAAAAAAACCCAAGGTGTTTAGAGCATGCAAACATTTATATACACAGGATGCCTCTATATGCACACATACTACACACACACGTTTCTGGACCAATAAACCAGTGGTGCAGGGAAGCTGGGAAGCGTGGGAGTGGCGAGTAAAGAATAAACATTGTAAATCATTTTCAAGTAACTAAGGTTAAGAAAAGGACAAAAGAAGCTGCAACTGTAAGTCAAAATTTCGGTCCAACCGAATCTGAAAAGTAATATGGAGTTCCTGTCGCACATGAGGCTGAAGATGAGTTGGACTGGCTTGTTTTCCCCATGCCGAATTGACAGAATTTTCCCATTCTGAAACTGGGTTTGAGCAGAAGCCTCACCAAATAGAATCAGTCCGGTTTCAACCTAGTCTGAGACAGTGCAGGTTGAGTATAAAACCAACACGCTCTCCTGGCTCCTCTGCAGTTGCCACTTACTTGGTCCAGGGTTTGCATTTCTCGGTGGAAGAAAAGTCATCAGAGAAGTAGCCTACTAGGCAGGGCTTGCAAACTGTGTCCTTGTTGAGCTGCACTGTCAAAAAAAAGAATGGACAAAGGACAAGCAAAACAAACAAGGACACTTAGAGATCGGCCAGGATGATGTTCCCGAGGACCAGAGATCAGGAGCTGCCCCCTGTGCCTCTGGCCCCCCGTTCCCATCCCTTTCCTCCTGGCTTCAGAGGGCCCCCAGTCCCAGCAGAAGGTTATAGACTCGTGTTCAGCAAGGTAACGAACATCAGTATCTGAGTTAGGTACTGACCCTCGGCTGTTCAGAGCCACTGTCCTGGTCACCGATCCTCTGTTTCCCAGCTGGGGAGCCTGCTGTCTCCTTTATTTTCACGAGGCACATGTCTGCCCACCCCTTTCAGCCTTTTGGGATTATATCAGTCTTCGTCTACAGAGAATGACAGCCCTTTTCCCGCCTTGAAGGGAAACTTCCTGTCCTGACTCCTTCTAACCCAGATAAATCTTACCAGTCCAAACACCAGAGTGACTGTAACACACTTTTCTCAAACAAAAACATTAACAAAAACAACACCCCCCCCCAAAAAAAAACCCGTATAGGTCTCTCTCTTAAACCAAGAGTTGGCAGCAAATGTTTTCTAGAAAGGGCCATACAGTAAATATCTTAGGTTTTGCAGGGCCTCTGATTTCTGCTGTAATTACTTGCAGCATGAAAGCATCATAGACAATATGTAAACAAAGAGACGTGCCTGTGTTCCAATTGAACTCTATTTACACCAACACAAGTGGTGGGATGGATTTTGGATCCCTGCCTTAAGCCACAGCAGTGAAAGCAGGAATTGATCCTGGTTAGGAAGATTTCTTCAGCTCTCTCACATTCCTCATCAACTACATTATCAAAATAGGACATGTCTCCAATTTCCTACATCTATTAGCCTCACTGCAACTGACACATGATGACCCTTTGGTAATTCCAATAAAGAAGAACATTGGCTTCCATGTGGTATCATAATCAGGCAATTGACTAGTGTCAAAACCACAGTTTGCTCTTGAAATTAGTAGCACTTCTGTGATTTATTGTCATAAATAAAACACCAAAATAAGGAATTACATTTTCTTTGTCCAAAGTCAAATGCATTCTTGATTTCTGCAATTGCCTCAATCTAGTAATCTGAGTCACCTTGTAATGATTTTAACAAAATCCCAGTTAACATCTAGCTGCTCACATGAATTCAAACAGCTTTTTACAATATTAACACAGTCTAGAAGAGTAACCCTTAAAAACCAAGAGACTTCCTAAGGAGCCACAAGTCACACATAGCCTTAAGGGCATTAAATCCATGCACTTGACTTCCACATTGACTCTTTGAAATGCTGACCTGCCAGGGGCATCCTGCAGGTTCTTTCTCTTTCCCCCTGACACAATCACCCTTTCCCCACTTTACAAAAGAAGGCACGCTGCTTATCCACTCCAAATCTTGCTATGCCAAAAAACAAACACAAAAACAAAACAAAAAAAACCCCACAACAAATCAAAATACTGGTAACAGCAAAGCTCCTGCGATTCAGAGCCCCTCCCTACCAAAAGACTCTGGGCCTTGTCTTAGAATCGAATTCATAA